CCGGATCTCAGCTGACCCTTCTCACCCTGGACACAGTCTGTTTGACCTGCTCCCCTCAGGCAGGAGGCTCCGGTCCATTCGCACCAGAACCTCTCGCCATAAGAACAGTTTCTTCCCCTCTGCTGTTGGACACATGAACAATAACCACATGACTGTCCCCGCCACTAACACATGACCCTACGCTGTGTCACTGCATCATTTCATGTTTGGCACTGATCACCACCTGCACTCATGTATATATCTTTCTACGTAGCACTCATAATTCTTATTCTCATGTATATATCTCATGTATATCTCATGCACATATCTTTCTTTCTACATAGCACTTTAATTCTTATTGTTTGCACTGAAGCACCGCAGCAATTTCCTAATGTTGTAAACCTCAACATCTGGCAATAAACCCCATTCTGATCTTCTGATCTGATCTGATCTGATCTTTAAAGCTATATTTAAATCGTTTGTTCCTGCAAACCTGTGAAAAATCAAAGGTTTTAAACGCTGAGCAGCTTTTTGTCCTTGAAGCCGTCACGTTTAAAAACATCCAGGAACAGCTCGAGTTTGTGGAAGTTGACCTGATGACCTGCTGGTTGGTGTGAGCTGTGAGTCATGGTGCTGATCTGGGTCCTGGGGTTTGGTGGTTTTTGGTCCCGACCTTCTGTTTTATGTATCAGCGCTTGAAATTCATATTTTTAACGTGCCTTCCACAGATGATCCGTACGGTCTGAGACTCACCTGCAGGTCCATCAGATGGTTTCGTTCCTCGTGTCTCCACAGTCTGTGTTCTTCTCTCACTCTTCACAAACATCTTCTGAGCCGAGCGTCCTGAAACTGCCCGACGCTTCAGTGTACAACATCGGTGTGGTCTGAGGATTAAGGCTGGTGACGACCGTCGCTGGGACTGAAGTTTATTTTAAGCTGTTTCTTTTTTCTTCTCCTTCACATCTCTGAAGTCTGTTTGTGTTTGTGAGCCTTCCTGGAGCAGCAGAGGGAGCTCGGAGCCTCCACGTCTCCTCCGGCCTGCAGGCCTGAACTTTATTAAAATGCTGTTATTTAGTGCAGGAATTTCCTGCGATATCACCCAGTTTCCCAGACCTGGACTCAGACTGGTCCCAGACCAAAGGAAGTTCACTGAGGATGTCCGAGGTAAAAAGACTTCTGCCTCTGAAACAGGTTTAAATGTTTACGTGCTGGATTTGCAGAAATCAGCTGAATGAGATTAAATTCATGGCACAGGAATAAAATCTAATGAATCAGGTTCAATGACGGAAACAGAACTAAACTGATGAAAGATGGAAACGAGGATTCAAGCTTGTAAAACTAGACTCAAGTTTCGATCTTTAGAATCAAATCTGGTTTCTTTTAAAAGTGAAATCAAACATGTTTATACTTCTGTCTCCAAACAGTTTGTAAAGCTGTGAACGTGTTGTTGTTTCAAAAACTCAAAGCAGAAACTGATCCTCTTCTTCCTGCACGAGCAGATAATGACCGACAAACAAAACGCCGCCATCGCCACACAGCTGCCTGACCCCCACGCCCCGCGGTGTGACAGAGGTTTGTGGCGTTCAGGTGACAATGGGATTAACGGACGATGCTCTCCGCGAATCTGCAGCCCCGGCGAGAGAGAGACACAGAGCAAGCGAGCATGGTGATTCTAGGCGGCTGTTCGTGTCGTCAGCGGTGACAAAAGCGTCGTTGTTGATGCTCCAGCACGCTGACAGAGCGATCAGCTGACACAGCGATCAGCTGACACAGGCAGGGCTTGTTCAACAACACACACTCCATACCCACGACACACACACACACACACAAAATCAAATCATTCGTATAACGGGCCAGTGTTGGTTTAGAATGTGTTGATTCATCTGAACCACAATGGTACAACAGTGTGTGTGTGTGTGTGTGTGTGTGTGTGTGTGTGTGTGTTCACACTGACCTGGTGCTCTGCTCGACATCCAGCCATCGTGAGATTTACCTCGACAAAAATCCACCACAGCTCCTCACAGGTGAGCCGCACGTCCGACGTTCCCACGGTGAGAACGTCTGATGTCAAAATACACACAGCGAGCTTTAAGTAAAAATACTTTGATTACTGTGACTTTTACTGCAAACTATTCCACTGTTCTCCAGTCACACTGAACCAAATGCACAGACATGTGACTCCATCAGTTTTTGGACTGTGACACGTTTTGTTTCGCTTCTGTTCACCAAACAATCAACACGAGATTTAAAGATCAAATATGCTGCTCAGAAATTTACTTTCAAAACAAATAACTTGAACAGCAGAAGAGACATTCAGGCAGTAAATGCAGTAATACCACAATATAGAAAATACTCCAGTACAGATAAAAGTCCTGCATTAATGTGACTTTTTGTATGTTGCTGCTGAACACGTTGCAGTCGTTCTCCTTGTAAACGCACTGTTGTGTGCTCTGATTTACAGCCTCATGTTCAATATTTACACATTCTCATGTAACTAAAGTAAATGTAGTGCAAGTTACTTTCACTCTGCAGTACTTGAGTAAATGTACTTGTAGTGTTATTACAGTGAGCTCAATGAAAACCCAAACTATGTAGAGCTGATCAGTTTTGGTCAACCCTGAGGTCACAGTCACAGCGAGGGGTGCGTTTGTTTCCTGACACTGGGACGTCTGTATGACACGTCCAGCTGCCTGCTCATGATAAAGTGATGAAGAGACTGAAACTAGCAAAGCTGAACTGAAAACTGCAAGTAAACCTGCTGAAAAGCCCTCTGCGAACCCGCTGCACCTGCTACACACCAGAGAAACAAACGATAACTGTGATGCTCGTTACCTGCAGTGATGACGTGATGAAGCTGTTTCCCGCGGACTCCTCTGTATCATAATTCATTAAAATGATAAACTATAATCAGCCCAAACTCAGCAGCTGCCTCGCGTTTCTGCGCATGCGTGTAAGAATTATAACCGATCTCATTAAGTGGAAGCGCGTTTGTGCAAAAGCTTTGATTGTTTTGCCACTAGCACCCGGCATGCAATGCGCGAAAGTCACGTGGTCTGTCAATCTCTACGCAGCTACCGTTCAAACCTCAGGGGATTATCCACAGTGCGCATGTGTAGAAAATTCAAAAACTGCTCCTCCGCTCTTTTTGACACGCTCCAGCCTTTGCTAACGGACAGTGGCCACGCCCACAAATTAAACGTAGTGCAGAGCCGTAACGGTATGGGATCAGAAGGATGCCGCCTTGAAATGAAACTGAAAAAAATATTGAAGCTGAAAAAAAAATGTAACTGAAATAAATGAAACTGAAAAATCTTGTATTGAAAGTGAAAAAAAATTTGATAGTGAAAAACGATTAATTGAAACTAATTTTTTTGTTTTCGCTTACATTATTTTTCAGTTTGATTTTAAGGTGGCATCGTTCTGATCTCATATAACCGCTAGTAGGCTAGTTTTCAGAGACCGCTAACACACTGCCACAAGACGGCAGCACGCTCCAACATGGAGATAACCAGAAACACTTACGGGAGAATCATGTGACAGGGAAGCACGTGATATAAATACACCATGACATCATTGTACACACCTGTGCTGCACAGCCAGTTGAATCAAATGAAAACTGTTTCAAAGTTTTGGCAGCTTTGTCCCAAAATAAAGTTTAAACATTAGAAAAGAAGCTGACAATAAACCAGTGATCTGAGAAGTAATGAAGACTTCAAAAAATCAGTGTTTAAAGTTTCAGCTCAGCTAACAGGAACTGGCACAAGATGGCGCTGCACATGTTCTCACAACTGATTTTAAAGACTTTTTTGAAATCCAGCTTCACAAACAGCGAAATCTGTGACAGTTTTGAGAGCAGGCTGGTAAAAGTTTACCCGTATATGTGTTTCATGCCCACTTTAATATATTTTAATGATAAGAAGCAAAGCATAGTCCCGGGCATTTCTTCTCTCCAGGCTTTGAATATTTAAAGACATTTGCACAGCAGCAGTGAAACAGGCGCTCCTCACTAACCACAGCATCTCTGAAGCATCCAGCTCGATGTCGAGGAGCCAACACTGTCCTGCTGCTGCTTCCAATCACATTTCATTCTTCCTTTGTTTATGTTTTTACCAACAGTTATTTGTTGATTTAACCATTAAACTCCAACAAATCTTCACAGCATTTCTTCATCATCAAAGTTCATCTGTGGCTTAAATCTGCTGTCAAATATCAGACGGGCTGTGTTTGACTCATTCTGTAATTAATTCTAATTCAGGCTTTTTATTGATTCATCACCTCGTGCAAAGTTTCTTCTATTAGGATTATTTGTTGTGAAAATATGTAACCATGTCATGTAACAACATGTTTTTATGTTATGAGTAAAGGCGATGGCGTGATGACGTAAGTGGGAGCCAGACTGGCGGCATCAGTGATTATCAGGAGTGTCTGAGCTGCATGCTGTGTGCGTATTTGTATTACTCGTGGTGTTAGCGCTTCACTTTCATTTGAGAACAAAATGTAACCATGATGTAAAGATGTCATATAAAATATTTCAGTTTAAACTTTGGTGTTAAAATCTCCAGGAGATGAATGTAAGTCAACGTGTCGTCCTGAGAGGTGCTTAAACCCTGTGTGTGTGTGTGTGTGTGTGTGTGTGTGTGTGTGTGTGTGTGTGCGCCAGGCTCAGGCTGCCAAAGTCCCGATTTATGCCAAGATTAATTATGAGCATGTTGTCCAGATCGGGATGAAAACTGACATGACATGTGCAGTAATCACATTACAGTTCACACACGGCTGTGTGTGGTGCAGATGGGAGGATAAATCCTGCTCGCCACATGTTTTACACGAAGCATCTGAGCCGCCGCCGCTGAAGGTCTGAAGGCTCGTATGTGTTTCAGTCGTGGTGTCGAACTGAGAACATTCCTGCAAACATGCAGGAGGAAAATGCTTCATGTCCTTCACAGAGGAGATGAGGATATTATCCCCTCCACATCCACCCTAAACATTCACACAGCGTTCAGAGAGATGCGTAATTGCTGGAGGGAGCATTTTATTAAGTGTGCAGCTGCTCATTTCCATACAAAGTCAGTCCAAAACCAGTTTGAAGTGGAACATGAACTACAGCTCCCGATTTACCCATGTCGGTCCTGTCGTAAGTCAAAATCAGTATTTTTGTACATTTCTCTGAGTTATTTACAACAGTATTTTCATTTGTTGTCATTTGTGTTTGATAAAAATGGCTTTGCTTTTGTTTCTCTGTGTTTGAAGTCATCAGGAACTCATCCTAATAACCCGTCACATGATCGCTGTTGGCTACAGTGGAACATTTCACAAGATTATTGATCATCTTCCCAGAGTGGAAAATATTCCATTGATTACTCTGATGATGCTGTGCTGTTTCTTTCTGATCCACTTCACACCTCTCTTTGATCCCTCATGTATACATTTCCTGACACTCACAGACATCTTGACTCTATCTCATCTACACATATTCATAATATATCAAGGAAACTCGACCAGAAACAGTTTAAATCAAGTTCATACCATGAATGACAAACATATTTTTAAGCAAAGATTCTTTAAAAATGTCTCATTATCTGCCGTCGTGGTTTCTCACCATTAGATCGTTTAACTTAAAACAAGATTATGTGGCTTCACATCACAGTGCTGCACCTCCACATGTTCGGACTTTTCCTGTATTTTTCAAAATCTGAAAGAAACATTAAAATCAACAAACTTTGCACTATAAAAAATTACATCTACTTAATCATCAGACTGGCTGGCGGTTGATTTTTCGTCAGTTGATGAATCAGATAAGAGTTTGTTTCATGTCTGAGGCTCGCCCTGGTTCCTGGATGCCTCAGCAGCCACCTGAGCTCAGACGTTTGCTTTGGATCCCCGTGTGGGTTAGCCTGGCCGTGACTTTCACTCACGTGGTTTCCTCTCAGAAGGTTTGCTTGACATGGACTTTAATCACTGAAAGATGATTATGGAAGCAAACAGAGACGTGTGTTTTTATACATATCACTAATGTTATGGTTGTATTTGTGGAGGATCCTGAAACAAACTGTGCAGAAGTGATGCTCTGAGTGACGACTTTGAGATATCAGAAGTGGACTTAGTGCTGCTCAGTGTTGTAAGCATCAGGTCATCACAGGTGATTCATCGGCTTCTGCTGCTGCTTGAAAGAAAAATGTGATGATGATGAAGAAGACTGTACAGTAACAGTAAGTCCAGAGGATATGATTCATGGTTCCTCTGCTCTCTAACGTCATTAACAATAAGCTCACCTAAAGTCATGGCGCTGAGGATAAGTCATGTTATAGAAATCAAAGAGAGGAACCTGGTTTGAGTGGAGGCAGACGGGAAACAGATCTTCAAAAAAAGTGAAAATTTATGGAAATGAAATGAACTCCTGCAGATCGTATCATCGCCTCGCTGACAGGAACATCTGCTGTGTAAAAATCAACACAAACAACGTTACGTCAGTTTAACATGGAGCAGCTCAGAAATGATGGACAGGCACAAATCAGCATCAACAAAGGAGGGAAACACACCTGCAGCCTGTTTCCTCCACTGTCTGCAGTTTCACCCTGTTTCTCCATCACTGTTTCAGCCTCTTTATTCTTTAAACTGAACTTTAATCTCAGCGAGTCAGAACAAGAATGCAACCAGAGCCGGAAATCCTTTCTACTGACTACAGAACAACATTTATAAACTTCTCATTTCTGATGTTTTCATATGATACAGACTTTAATTTGGTTAATGATCAGCCTGCAAACTGAAGTATCCACACCAGGGGGCGCTGCAGAGAGAGAGGTAACCAGGTGCAGGTGTTAACTTTCACTGCTACAAGGACACTGATCCATAAGAAGCACAACTTTTTATCTCCAGTACATGTTATAAGCTTTTTATTATTAATGCAGGATCAATACAAGGAATAAAAGTGATGCAGTCAAAATTAAATGATGTCTTTTGTCCAGTGATCGTGGAGTTTGTTAATCTGCTGTTCTATTCAGCTCTACAGTTCTGCTGGAGATTATTTCTAACTGATAAGAACGTCTAAAAGTCGCATTAGATAAGGTTCCAAAGAAATGAATATTTATTTATTTTAAATGTTTTTTAAATATTTAGTTTGATTTAGAAACACGAGCTAACAGCTGCTGGTTTTACTGAGTCAAAGACAGACTTTGCTTTGTTTAAAGAAAGAAATCTTTGTGTGGATCTTTCCCTCAGCTGCAGTAAAGAAACCTTACACTGAGGTTTAAACTAACATATTAAATATAATATAAAATTATAAACATATCTTACCTCAGCTCAATTTAAACGGTTATATGGCAGCAAACAGGCCTGCTGGGCCACAGTCCTGGATCACAAACACAAAACAATCTCAGCCGTTTGTCTCCCAGCGCATCATTTTTCAACGTCAGTGTTAGTTAATGTAAGAGAGACGAAACCTTTATTATCCCGGACCAAACACCTCTAAGAACCAGTGAGATCAAAACAGTGATTTTAGTTTAAACTAAACAGTTAAAAAGTGAAACCAAACAACAATGATCCAAAAGATGCTGGACGATAACCCTCCATGTCCAAGTGCTCCAAAAGCACAAAGTGTTGTTATGTGACCTCATCGTTGCTGCTCCTGTGAACTCTGAACATCATTTCTGACCAAGCTGGAAACACGAGTTCAGACAGGCTGGTATCCAATTAGCATTTCCAGAGACAGATACACACAGAAGCTTTCAGGTGCTGGAGAGGAGCTGATGAGATGTTCGCAGAAAACTCAGCGACTGCTTTGTGTCTGTTTGGACGTCCTTTGTTCCCTCATCAGAGCTGATGCAACGTTTGCTCCAATTTTATCATCGTCACTGTTTATAGTTCAGAAGACGACTATAGTGAGTCTGAGGGCTTCAAGCCCAAACTATTACAGGACCGTGAAGAGGTGCACAACAACCAATAACTGGCTGGACAGATGCACAAAACGAGCACACAGACACTGAAATCAATCACAAAACGACCGTAAATTTCAGGTCTTATTAACAAATGAGCAGACATAAATACTGAGCTGCTCTCAGGATGGCAAATAATCATTTCGGAAGTTTCTCAGATGTCAGGGCGTTGTTTGAAGGTTATAACATGATTTAACCCAAAACATCTGTTTTAACCCTGATTGGGTCATTTTGAGCGCCTAAAACAAACCAACAGGGTGAAAGTGGAAGTAAAAAAGGAAAAATGAACCACAGGCTCATTGTGTGGAGTTTGTGTGTCTCGCTCTGATATGTGCTGTTCTTGTATTGGTGGTCAGAAACGTCGTGGCTGTGGGTCAGAGCGCACAATGAGACACAAAAACATCTAAAAGACGTAAAAATAAAATTACCAGAAGAGGCTCAGCAGCTCATTCATAATGAAGGACGCTGTTAGAATAACTCCCACATCAGAATCACGTGATCTGCTCCTCTCTTCATCACAACAGTCTGAAGGTATCAGACCACGAGTCTCTCTGATTGGCTGGAGATCAGCAGCTTCTCTGGTTTCGGGTCATCGCTCCGTCTTGTCGTGTTTGAGGCGTGTGGATTGGCGGTGAGAGCACAGCGGGCTCTCCTTCTGTACTTTCATACGGCGAGCCCGGGACTCGCGGCGAGGTCATTCATTAAACATGACCGTCTAAAAATAAAGGCCTCCTCCTTTCACCAGAACGGCGCTCTTTAATCTGGGCCAGAGCTTCGAGTGGTTTGCATCAGCACACGAGAGGCGACACGAGAGACAAAGAGAGACAAAGAGGGATGTTTCACAGCGGGAGGCGGAGGAGGAGGAGGGTGCTTCATCTTCACAGTGACCGGCTGCTGGATTTGTACTTCAATGGGGACGCAGCGCGACCTCTGACCTTACTGTGTGGAAATCAAAGGCTTAAATTCATTTTGTTTCTCAGCACACAGCAGAGGATTCATTACAGCACGTTTATGTTGGCACATGAAAGAAAACCTGGATTTACAGCAGACGTGTTCATTTTTCAGCTGTCGGCTCTGTTTTCAGTCTTTATGCTGAAACATCTTAAATACCTGCTGAGGTCTAAATCAGACCAAATCAGTCTAAATCAGTCTAAATCAGACTCAATCAGACCAAATCAGACTCAATCAGACCAAATCAAACCAAATCAGACTAAATCAGACCAAATCAGACTCAATCAGACCAAATCAGACCAAATCAGACCAAATCAGACCAAATCAGACCAAATCAGACCAAATCAGACCAAATCAGTCTAAATCAGACCAAATCAGACTCAGACCAAATCAGTCTAAATCAGACTAAATCAGACCAAATCAGTCTAAATCAGTCTAAATCAGACTAAATCAGACTAAATCAGACCAAATCAGACCAAATCAGACTCAATCAGACCAAATCAGACAATCAGTCAATCAGACCAAATCAGACCAAATCAGTCTAAATCAGTCTAAATCAGACTAAATCAGACTCAGACCAAATCAGACCAAATCAGTCTAAATCAGACTAAATCAGACTCAGACTAAATCAGACCAAATCAGTCTAAATCAGACCAAATCAGTCTAAATCAGTCTAAATCAGACTCAATCAGACCAAATCAGACTCAATCAGACCAAATCAGACCAAATCAGACCAAATCAGTCTAAATCAGACTAAATCAGACCAAATCAGTCTAAATCAGTCTAAATCAGACTCAATCAGACGCTCACAGAGGGAAAATCCTTGTGTATTTCACTTAATGACAAACTGCTTTCTGCTTTACTTAAAAACATGTTTGCATGATAACAGATGGAGGTCCGTGAGAGAGCGCAAACTTCCACAACACCAGCGGTCCCACAGGCAGCGTCATCGGGACTGTCAGGATCCTGTAATCAGCACAAATACTGTAAAATGCATTTGTGGCAAAAATGCACCTGAGTCCAGTTTCAGGTTGGGGCTGCTGCCCAGGGCCGTGACACAGAACTCTGGGGCCATGGTCACAGAGTCTCTGTGGGCCCCCTTCACCTCGTTCATCCAGCTGTGCAGACAGCTGCACTGATTATTAGGACATGAACTGTTAACTGCTGACAGATCTGTAGCACGTCCATGAGTCTCAGCACATTTTGACCTCCTCTGTTTTTACCATAGAGCCGTTCACAGCTTAATCACGGTTACACGTGTTTTACTTGGATTATTGAGCTGAAGAATGAATTATTTTCTTTGTTTTCATTGAATTTTTTATGATTCCTGTGAGATAAAAAGCTCTAATATGTGAAGTCTGTTTTCTAAACCTTTCCTAACACTCAGTCCTCATCCTTCCCATCAGCCTCAGAGCAACCTTCACTGTCCCTGCTTCCATCATCCTGCAGCACTCAGACATCCAGATCATCACGGCACATCAGAATGACTGTAAACAGGGACATCTCAGGACCTCCATGGTATGGAGGCCTATCTCCCTCTACCACCACTTCCCCTGCCAGTGGCGGACGCCTCAGACATCGGTGCGTTGGTGGTTCTTTGTGTCCGGGGATGGGCGTCCAGGTACACACCGGCTCACTCCTTATCCAGCCAGCTTATCGGGGCCTGGAGCCTGGGGCTCGCTCGGGCCACTTCGGAGGTGGGGTGCCCTCGGCCTCTCGGCCTGGGGCTCGGTCACTCAGGCGCAGCTGGCTGCCGGCGGAGCTCACGGGCTCGTCACTGCAACTCCCCCTGGCTTCTGCTCCGTGGCTGCTGAGTGAGCCCTCATCTGGGACTCTCCTCAGCTCTTTCTGGGACAGTGGCGCGGCTGCCCCTCTGTTGGTCTTCCTTGGTCTCTTGTGTTCTGGGGGCCTCTGGATGTCTGGAGTTTGATCTCCTCCATACCTGCTTCATGCCCTGGAGGACGGGGCTGTGGCCCCCCCACACCCTCTAGCAGATCATTACATGAAGGAACCTTTTAAAAAAACAAAAAACAAGCGCGTCCATGCTCACAGGTGTACACACGGGTGATCACACCCACAAACTACACCCTTTTTGGCTCCTACCTCAAAGCACACTGTGTTCTGTTGATCTTATGTGCTGCACAATAATGTTTAACATTTAGTATTTACTGTCATATTCCCATATATCATTGTGATGTTGTTTATTCTGTTACTCTTTTTCTTTGCTTGTTTTCTCTTTTTTCTTTCTCAGCAGGTGACCCAGGTTTTGTTGGTTTTTGCACTTTACCCCCGTCCCTCTTCCTCGCTCTTTTTCTTTCCCTCTTTCTTTCTCCTGTTTCTTTTCCCCAGTCAAGTCTGTCCCGTGTTCAGCTACTGAAAATAAAATAAACAGTAAAAGGTGAATCATTTGGTCCATTTGGTAACGTAAATCCGTTGGGCATCTTTCTTCGCCTTTAGACAATAATTCTGATGAAAAAGAGCCAAACGGGACAGGCAAAAAATAAATAACTGTAAACAATGTCATTATCTTTATATGGAGTGAACTTTAAATATGTATCCAGATATTTTTGTGTTTCTGAAACCGTAGCAGCAGAGTTCCCGCGCTGTGGGCGAGCAGGTGTATCTGCAGCGATGTGATTGATGTTTTTCATTGTTTCTGGGACGATATCGAACCCACGAGTTGCAGACGTCACACGGAGCAGTGTGATGGTCCTGCAGATGTAAGCTGCTGATTCACTGATGCAGAGAGTGTACACGGGTACGTCAGTGTGCTGCCTGTGCTTCATCACAGTGAACTAAAGCTAAGGAAACACATGTGACTCCCTGCACACATTCCTCTTTGCTTCTTATTGAATCAGGAAGTGCTGTCGCTGTGATGTTAAATGTCCCGTTACCTCAGAGCAGGTCTGGAGACAGTGAAGCTGAAGGCTGCCTCATGTCAGCAGATCTCACAGCTGCTGATAGCCAGACCATCCTTACCCTGTTCGCTGTTCTTTCTTCAGAAAGCCTTCCATCACGTTGCCTTCTCTCCTTCCTCCCTTTTCTTTTTTGATGCTCTCTTTGGGAAAGCCGTGACTCACAGTGTCCATTAGCACTCAGAGAATAAATGAGCTGTGCTGTAAAGGTCAGTGTGAGTGCAGTAAGCCACTGTATGAGCTCAAAGTGGGGTCAGCCTGATGCGTTCAGGTTATTTAGGACAAATTACTGAGAAATAAAATAATACAAACAACAGCAAAGTGGGACTTACACTTGACCTCCTCGCCACTGGCGCTACAATCACATTAAATATGGACGTAACCCTCTCGGCGTCGTCCACCGGGTTGTTTTGGCAGCTGCCGTGTTGTTTGTTTGGACTCAGCAGTGATCGTGTTTGGATCACTGCTGCTGCTGAGCATCGTGTCAACACCTGCAGTTCCTCTAACGTCCACCAGAGGCTCCAACAGTCAGTCTGCATGGAGTCATGTTAAAAACTTAGAGCAGAAATAAACGTGTTTACAGCCTGATACAAAACGGTTTCTGTACTTCCGCTTCGTAACACCTGTACTGCCATAACTCACCTGTTTAAATTGTATTAAGTCATAAACCTGCATTGTTGGGGGCGTGGTCTCTTTGATTGACAGCTGGATGGCGACACAGGCTTGACCTCAGCTCACCCCTGACCTGGACCTGTGGACTGTGTTTGGGCAGTTGGAGCATCCATCCACTGTTTTAGCAGCTTCATCAGCTGCGGGAGGGTGGAGCCCATCATGTGAAGCACAGGCTGGCTAACGGAGCCTGATGGGGTTGTTAACATGTATGTAAGTGAGCGCACATGTTAGGGAGAACATGCCATCTGCACACAGCATCCATTCATCCTTCTTCTCTGAACTCAGTGAGAACTGAGGGAAACACAGAAGCCTGAAGCAGCCGCTGCAGATGCTTCAGGCTCTCTGAGCATCAGTGAGTTCACAGATGCAGGTAAATGGGTCGTCCAATAAGAAGCTGCCCAAACCAAGGTGTGCCACGCCTTCAGAGACTCGTGCTAATACAGGAGTGGCTCGATGGACAAAACGCCAGTTTTACCAGGTTATAATTAAACCTTGAATACAAAGGAGACACAGTGAGAGTCCTCGGGGTGTTTTGAATTCTCGCCTCTTATTTCAGCTGATTTATTTTTAATCCTTTCTATGATCTACATTTTCTTTATCTCATTGTTTTCCACGTGTGTTTGTTTTCGTTTCTATCTGCATCTATTTGGTTTAAATAAAAACAGAAGCCTGACTCTGTGTTTTCATCCATCTGTCCCGCTTTCACCTCCATCTCCTGTCACCTCTCTCTGCTTTCCTCAACTTTCACTCCTCTTCCTTCCTCTCTCCTTTCTCTCACTTTCCCCCCCTTCACAAAGTTTATCCCCCCCGCTGCCTCTTCCCTGCCTCCTTCCCTCCTCCCTGACCCTCCTCTTCCTCCTCCTTGGCCTTGTAGGTGAGCTGCATGATTGGGCGGCAGGTCGGAGGGGTAGGCTTTTGGAAATCACATGGTTTACGTTTCCAGCTCCCTGAGTCGCCATTTTGGAGGAAAGTTTGGGAATTTGTAGACCTGGGGAGGTGCTGGAGAGGGAGAGGAGGAGGAGAAGGAGAAGAAGAAGAAAAGAGGAAAAAGGAGGGAGGAGGGATTTCACAGAAGTTTGACACGAATGCACGTCGCAGGCGGGGACACGGCGGAGCGGTGCGGACCAGTGCGGGATAAGTGAGTGTAGGTGTGCCGCCAGCCTGGCTTTGAAGTTTTTTTTATTTCTGGACGAACCCGGAGCCGCTCCTCCTCCACCCAGCAGCAGCGGGCAGCTCATGCATGCGCCGCCTGCACAGCAGCGGGTGTTTCCCGGACTTTGGCACACTGCAGGTCCCGCTCGGTCCGAGCCAGATCTGCACTTTTCGGAGCCAGCTCCAGAGTCTGCCTGCGCGGTGCACGCCGGCGCACACAGCCTCTCCGGCGGGGAACTACATCTGTGAGAGTCGGTAGCTCAGCGGAGCTTCACTTGTTAGCGGGACTGCTGGCTGAGCCGTCCCCGGAGGCTCGCTGTTGTTGTGCCAGTCTGCCCCCCGACGCTCCGTCCGGAGGGCTTTTGGCTCGGAGGGATTTTCTTCAGCCCTGACTTGGAGCGGTGACAGCGGCGGGTTTATCCGGCGGAACCGCGAACAAAAACCGTCCTGTGTGAGGACTGCATGCGGCTGAGGCGGATCTAGTCGAGCCAGACCACCACCATGCCAGTGAGAAAGAAAGGTAAGCCGCTTTCACTTCACATATTAACTAGCAAGCTAGCAGGCTAGCCGTTCAAACTCCGGCTGCTCCTTCGTTTTTAAAGACACACAGGACTCGAACAAACACGGGACACGCAGCGGCTCACACGCCACACGAGCCGAACACGGCCCACACGGCTCGCTTTGGCCCTGCTGAGCTGAGCGGAGCCGTGCCAAGTCAGGTGAAGTCAGTTAAAGTAGGAGCTAGCCGGTTAGCCACTGCTGCTAACCAAGTTGTAAATGGGGCACCTTGTGTGGAGAACTAAAAATAAACTCTAATATGAATAAAATATTCACCTCGTCCTCAGCAGTCAGCGCGCGATTTAGGAATATAATGAACTGTAAAAATTTAGAAAAATATCCTGAGTTCGTTTACACGTTATTAACCGTGTATAACTGTACTTTTATCCCGGGAAAAATAAAGATTGTGCCCGGGGCGGTGGAGGCAGTGAGTTAAAGAAAAGCCACTTATTTAAGTCAATGAAAGATTCACCTCGTTCCCAGCGCTAAGTGCACATTTCATGAATTAGATTAACTGTAAAAATTTAGAAAAATGTTCTCATTTAGTGAACTCATTCATAAGTACGGAGACCTCCACTTTAATCCCAGGAAAAATAAAGATAATTTCAAAAGCCTTGCAAATGGTGCGTCAAATGCCTCCTAATTATCCATAGTAATTATGTTTAGCCTCCCTCAGTATGAAAAGACAAGAAACATTTTAATGATCGTTTTTTCTGCAAACTGCAAAAACAAACCTAAACTGTGCCATCTGTGTGGATGAGTCACTGCACAAAGTATTCAGTGTTTCAGTCATTGCAGTTCAGGTACAGCCCAGTCTGAGCTCAGGTGGGCTGCACCAGCAAAACCACTGCAGTTTAAAAAACGTTGCTTGTATTCAGTGTAAAAGCCTGAACTACAAAGACATCACTGCTGTATTTGTCCCTCTGCATTAAAAACCTTCACCGGTGGAGATTTTCTAACCAAACAGCAGCATTTTGTGCCTTTAACAAATATTTAAATATAGAAATATTAAATCCACACACACCCACTCCTGAGTGAAACTGACACGGCATAAAACGTGTGTTTTATTGGAAAGTGTGAGCTGTTAATCACTGTCTTGAATAGGACCGTGCCCATTCTGGTCCTCGGGCCACATATTTGACAAACCTCATGCAGCTGAAGGATGACAAAGACATCAGCTGATACTTAAATGAAGTCTTTTAAAGTTGGCAGCTTCCATTGTAGCTCACACCACATAACGCACCAGCATCACCATCGTGTATTTAAGCTCCACGTTTTAGCGCTCACAGCGACGCGCACAGATATGTTGATCTGGGTCAAACCTCAAAGACCGACACTAACGGAGAGAATTTAATTTAAAGCTGTTAATTGGCTGAGGTAATTTTCTGCTGTTTAGAAACTGACGTGTGGGCTGTGAGGTCAGCTGTGAGGTCAGCTGTGAGGTCAGCTGTGAGGTCAGCGTATCAGGCTGAAGCATCAGGTCAGCTGAGGGTTTGTAGGCCGTCACAATCTCTGTCTCAAACTTTCACTTCCTAATAAACCAGAAGACGGAGGAGTGTGATATTAAATGTCTTCTGCGCTGTGACACAAATCGCCTGGTTTATGTTTTATGTTGTATTTAAAGTTCATACTTTCAATTAATGTGGCTTTTAAAATGAGATCTGTGGCTTTCCACCTCAGCTACAGTGTTACACCTTCTACTCGAGCGTGTGTGCAGGTTTTCAGCAGCCCTTGAAAAGCTTTATGGTCCAGAGCTTTAAGAAATAATCACATCACGTCACTTTCGTGATGGCTGAATGTTCAAACGCGTATCGATAAAACCGTTCAGTCACACAGGCCTGGAGACGGGAAAAAATAGTATTCCTAAACTGACCAATCCAACGTGACGAAGCAACCACAACCATGTTTCCGGTGCAGCGTCCTCTCTGTGACCGACTGCGGCACCAGCAGCCTGCTGCCAGCACTTCCAGCTCCACGTTGTTTTATGGTTTTGATGGTTTTATGTCTTAATCGGAGTTTTCTCTGCTGGTTCCAGCGTGAGCCGAAGGATTCAGGCTTCTTGCCTAAATTAGGCTTGAAACAACAATAATGAAACCAAGACCAGAAGCAGGACGCAGCGAACTGCCAATTCATCTAAATCAGTGCTGACGGAGGCGAGAGGCCCAACGCGCCGCCTCCTCGGGCTTTGTGTGTGTTTTATTTACAGGCGAGACTCACAGCCAATCAGCAGCAGGCATGAATCGAAGTGAGAGAGCAGGTTAATGATGGTAGAAACAACAATCTGATGGTAAACGTGTCGCTGTGTGCATAACTGTCCAGGAAGCTGTCTGTGTGAGGTTCTTCTGTCCTGTAAATGATCCAGTTAATTAGAAAGAAGTCGTAAGAGTCACATGACATCGCTCAACAATAACGACCTCGGTAGATTCCTTCAGGTTCTGACTTCCTGAAACTGCGCCGAGCCGACGCTCTCGCTGCCGTGCTGCAGTCACGCACTGACCTTTATTTAAAGCTGATTCACCAACAAGTAAACCAGCAGAAATGTGACCATCCAACAGAGTTACAGTCAAAGTCCTGAATCTTCTCCACGTCCAGCTGCAGCGATGTTACGCTGTTTGCATGTCTGTGATCGATCGGTGTTATTGGACGATGAGCTGCATTAAAATGATGTTTAGTTGAAGCCTCGAATTTAAAACAAAGCTCTGAATGAAGCCTTCGGGTCATGATTTGAGGCGACTTTCTATTTACTACTTTCAGCTTAATCATTTTATCAGATTTGCTTTGGTCTGAATGTGACTGTCACCAGCAGACATGTAGTAAATCTGTCCTTAATGCTTCCCTCTGAGCCGAGCCTGATACTCTGACCTTTATACTTATCCGCTGGGGAGAGGCCTCTTTAACTCGTTTATACTCCTTTAAAACCTGCCCGCAGTCTTAAACGCATGCATGTTTGGATTTTTAAAGTATTATTTCCCTCTCCCGGTGCGTGCTGGCTGCCAGTGCAGCTCAGCGTTTCAGCACAGAGGGATTATTTGTGCCCGTCTGACGGTTTGAAGCGGCCCTCTGCTGCCATCTCGTCTCAGATCAGTCCTCGTTAGTCGCTGAGCCTCGGCTCTGTCGTATCCCCGGCTCACCTCTCTCGCTGCTTCCTCCTGTTGTACAGACGCACAGCGAGCGCTGCAGCTGCTGGAGCAGTACCGGGCCAAGCTGAACCACACCGAGGACCGGCAGCTCCGACACTCCATCCAGAGGGTCATCGACATCTTCCAGAGCAATCTCTTCCAGGCTCTCATAGGTACGGTCGCCTCTCTGACCACAGAACACCTCACACACGGTTACCACACATCCTGGAAACAGGACGTCTCTAGTCCTGGAACATAACCCTGGAAAATAAGGACCTGGCCTGATAAAGGTTTCACATCACAAGAAGCAGTCTTTGTACTTCAGCAGTTTGTCACAATCTTGACATGAGAACACTGAGCTTATCTGTAGGTGACACAACCACAGTTATTTAACCCTTTAAGCCCATCGAAGCGCGCACGCTCCCATTTGTGTACACAGCACATAAGCTAGCGCAATCATTTTTATTTTGCATATGAAACCGGAGGAGTTGTACTTGCATAACATGCATTCAACTTGTCCCAGGTCGCAGTTTCCTTTTACATATGGCTTTGCAAAAATCGCATAAAAAGCGCTTGTGACATCAAAAACATCACAATCCAGAAGCGCGCTGCTGATCCCATCAGCTGTTCATTGTTTTTTTTTTTTGGTTTATTTTGATGCACATGCTGTTTTTCTTTTTTCTTATTTTTTTGCAAATTGTGCACAATAATGTTTATTTTAGTTTTTGCTGCAGTTTATAACAATGAGTTTGCCTCAAAAATGAAACTGAAGATGCTCAAAATAAATTTCCTGTTGTTGGAAACTATTTTGTGCAACGTTTGCATTTACAGGTTTGAGGGATAAACCTCTGAAGTTTCTGTAAGGACAACGATTTTCAATTTTGTTGTAGTTTATTGCACTTTTTTGCAATTTATCTAGCTACTGGTGGACTTAATCGTTACATCTTATTAAAATTTCCGATATAACGGTTGTAGTAATGTATAACATTACTCCCAAAAATGTCTCTACAGCATCTAAAAATATAAAGATGAGCTCTGGTGGATCTATGTGGTCTATGGTGGGCTTCCAAACCTGGGAAGAGTTTTGGGGTATTTTTGGTATTTCTTGTTCACATGTTGTGTAAAAATGTGTGTTTACATCATGGATCTGAAGATGTTTCAGTGTCTGTTTGCCATCTGATGTGTCATCAATCCACCATTATGATGATGATGTTATGGAGGCACTTGTGCCACGTTCATTGTCCTCAGTGTCAGAGCTGTTTGATGAGTCACGCTGAGGTTTCCACTAACAAAGAGCTTTTAAAGGATTTGTTGTTTTGTGTTTTATTAAGTGAACAAATATCAAACAGCTGAGTCGGTCTGTGAGGACCTGACATCATGCCTCTGTATGTTTTTGGCTGCATGGCAGCGCACAGCGGCGCAGACCGTTATTGACGGCGACGTTTCCCTGAGCTCTGATTCAGCTCTGCGGGTGCAAGTCAGAGACAGAACGACACGGACGGGAGGAGCAAAGCAACAATGCAGATCAGTGTTGGGTCCTTGCAGCATCGTTTGCACATGTGCAGCTCGTTCGTGTCCATGTCAGCTGGCCTGCAGTTAAATGAACGCGCTGCGGCCGCTCGCTGAGGAAAGTAGACCCAAAACATTACACACGAATGAAATGTGAGCCACACGTGAACAGCATCCCTCACACACCGCGTCTGATTGGACCGCTCTGACCACGTCCACGTAACCGGAGTTGATTTTTGAGCTCTAATGTGGAGAAAACCACTAATTAAATCCTTTATTTAAAGTCAAACATCACATGATAATTATCACTGAAGCGATAATGTGCTTCCACCTGCAGGTGACCTCTGACCTCGTCACGTTTGTGGGTCTGTAGGGTAGAAACGGCCTCGTGACTCGTGGCTGCCTCTGCTGTGAGGCGTCACAGTGGGGCGAGAGGCCGTGAAGTTCGTGTGCAGAGCTGTTTTCTGTAGACTCGCACAGTTTTACTGGATCAGGGTCATATATATCAGCTCTGCATTGTTGCTAATTTACCACCTTAACAAGCCGACCTGCAACAATTTAGCTGCGACTAAACCCTGAAAACTGAGCGCTGACAGCCGAGTCTGAGACGTGTCCACATTCATTTCATCCTGACGTTATGCAAAGCGATGAAATCAAGCAGACTGATGCTGCACTGAAACCTTGTTGGCTGATAAGATGTTTATGCTTATTGTGTCATCAGCTTTGTGCTGATACATCTTCAACTGTGTGATGAAGAGCTTAACGACTGATTTCAGCCCTCTGATGAATCGCGGTGACATCGTCGCTTTTGGCTCCAAAACAATAACTCTCTGTGCTGCGGGAACATTTTTTATTTTTGTTACAAAACTCGTATTTTGCCTCGTTTGAAAGGCACCTCTGTCCATCACAGAGCCGCTCCTTCACCTCTCCCAAAAAGTCCACGTGCACTCGTGGTTCAGTTTGGCTCGAGGTGATGAAAATAGCCTTTGATTAAAAAAAGAAAATCCATGTAGAGTGAAAGCTGTGAAATGTGCCCGACTCCCTGCGTCCTGCCCTCAGGGTCACCTGGGGTCCCTCTAATTTTCGAGGAAATCCTGTTAAACTAAACCAAACCTGCTTTTTGTCTGTCGGTTTTCCACGGAGTCACATCCTGATACTCGGAGCCAACTCGGCCGGAGCAGCAGGAGCTCAGCTCTGAGTGACCGAGCCCAGACACACAACACAGATCACAGTTAATACAACGTGGGTTTGGTTCTTGAGCAGCTTCTGTTCGCAGTCCGAACATCAAAGTTTAGATTGACCGTGTCACACCGACGCCTGCTCCGTCCATCCAGCATGGATGAACCCAAAGAGTGTGTGTGTCACGTCTTTCACAGGGACGCCAGGTTGACGTGACTCACGAGCTTCACATAATCAGCTGTCAGGCTGTGATAATGAGACGGCTGAGCTCCTAACGAGCTCCTGGCCGTGGACGTGTTTCTCCACGGTGCACCAGCGTGTCGGCCTCTGCTGTGAATATCGATTAGTTTTTCCTGCAGACGGTCGTTTCTCAGTTTCATTGAGAAAAACAACAAATCTGTTATTTAACTGTTCGCCTCTCCTCTGTAATTACGGCGAAGCAGAAGTCGCCCTGCAGGTTTGCAGATGTCTGCGTTTCTCTGATGTTCTGCCAGCGTCATGTTTCTCTGATTGGCTGTCGCCTCGCTGCCGGCTAACGGGACTCTCCGAGTAAACGCAGAAGCAGCTGCAGGGTTAACGGACGCCGAGCAGCAGGAATGTGGTCCGATGTGTTTGAGTTTCCCAGGAACGACTCGCTGAAAGACTCAAACACTGAGTGTGTTTGTGCCCCGGCACTCGCCAACAACAGGAAGTCTTTCTGAACGTTCGCTTTAACTTTTTAAACTTTCAGGCTTCGGTGCTGCCTTTCTGTCGGCTCACACGGCTCTGAGTGGGCAGGAGCAAGCTGTTTGTAGAGGTCACCCTCAGTGTCCTGCTGCTGCATCAGTTTGGAAAGCACTTTCACCTCCTTATCATAAAGCAGCAGACAAAAGCGTTCAGTTTGAAGCCGAGCATCACCATCTCTGTGTCACGAGGAAAGAAAACTGTCACAGATTACAGATTATAGTCTATCGTTCCTCCTCTGTGTTTCCTCCTTTCATCAGCAGGAAGCTGAAATGCTGTCGTGTGATTGGTGTAAATATTCCTCAAGTATAATTCGAGCACGGCGGCTCGTTTCCCTCAGTCCTGCGTGTCCTGCAGCGCCGCTCTGTCTTCATCACTAATACATGAGTGGAGATCATCACTGGCCTGGATCCTGCCTTCCTGCGTCCACCGCCTGCACGTTTGCTCTGCAGCTTATAGCAGAGTCACGCCACGCTCGCGACTTTCTCATTCAGTGGGTGGAGGTGGTCTCGTCGCTGCTGGGTGCTCATCGTGCGATCACCTCCAGCTCCTCTGAGGATGTTTGTGTTCAGGTGTGAAGCAGAGGCCGAGTCTGTGGTCGTGGTTTCAGTCTGAAAAGGGTGGAGTCCCTGCTCCAGGGCGGGGATGAGCTGCTGCCTCAGGTAGAGGCGGGTTGGTGGACGCTCTCCTGATCTGCTGTGATTAAGACAGAGCTGAGTGTGAAGGCAGAGGTGCTGATTTCCTGGTCGATGTTCCTAAAGAGAAGGAAATGATGGCCGGTGTTAGAGGCAGAAATGAGCTCGTGTTCTTAGAGAGATGAGCTGAACAGGAGCCTGTTAAGGTGGACTGACAGAGATCATGTGTCCTGTATGTCGCTCTGCACGTCCAGAGGAGCTAGAAGATGTGGCTGATTAGATGATGTTTGAGTCTTTATGGCATCAGAAGAGTTTTCCTCGTCTTCATGTGTCTCGTTTGAAACCCGCCTCATCTTGTGATGAACTCCAGCTCCTCCGTCATGCAGCTGGGGGTCCTCGTTCTGGTCGGTGTAGTGGCTCACCAACCAGTGCCTGCTGCAGGCAGAGAAGAAGAGAGGGTAATGGTCCCAGTCCAAGGTGGAGCTGAGCACGCCCAACCATGGAGCGAGACTCTGAAGAGGAACCTGAATCACATCGAGGATCAACCAACCAGAGACCGGCTGAGACTGCTGGGACAGGCAAACACTAGACAGGAAGTGCAGGGCTAGAATGACTAAGGGCTGAACTTTCAAAATAAGAGTGAGGAGATGACATTCTGTTGCTTGGATATAAAAATAGGAAGTGAAATGTAAACTGTGGTAGACGATGGCTGGACGAGCAGCCCGAGTAAAGTCTGTTTTTATGAAACATCTTTTTTAAATTTATTAATTTACAGTATGAGAATACAAAACTTTAGGTCAGCATGGAAGACATACACAGTCTCAACATTAGTATCTACTTACATCATGGTAATATTTAATTGTTCAGTACAAAAGGACTACACAATCCATTTTTCCCAGAGCTTCTTGAATTTCTCAAGTCTAAGGACAAAAGTAAGTCTTTCCATTCCAAAAATTTCTTCCACTATCCCAAACCACTGGGCCCGAGTTGGAGGGTCTGCCTTTAGCCATCTTCGGGTTTTGGCCTTTCTGCTGCTAGCCAAAAGTATTTTCAATAAATAATTATCTTTATGTGGAAGGGCCTTAGGTAAATTGCCAAGATACAACGTATCAAATGAATAGTCTATT